TAAGATTACTCACTCAAAATTGGCTGTTGGCACTATCATAATACAAACTGTATATACTCTTTTTCTTCTGGCTGGAGCCAGAAAACCTTAGCAGTATGAAGTTTATAAGCAGAATAAAATAGAAGCTGCTGTATGGTGTGATGCACGACCAAAAATGCAGTGAGGAATATGCTGAAGTGTGAGGTGTGAGGGTCAGGTAGGGTGTGTGCATTATATATGATTTGACATTAAAAAATCTGTGTGAAAGAATGGGTGTAGAAGAACTACTTGAAAGGGAAACAAAGAATCAACCTAGAGTTATATGTCAGAAAAAAAAAAAAAATAAAAGGAAAAACAGAGTGATAGAGTTCTGACACTTCCGTTTTCTTGCTTTTGTCTGACAGAAAGGGTTTGTGCTCAATGACTGTAACTTACAGTTTTTCATGTGAGCTTTGACAAACCAGTCCTGTATCATTGTTCAAGCTATGAAAACTTGTTCATTTTGAGGCTCTTACTAAAGCCATATATTTCCATCCTTGCCTACTTTTAAGTTCCACATTAAAATAATAGTCTAAAATCACTTAGGAGATAACTATACTCCAAGGTCAGGAAGTATTAAAGTATGCTTGGATGGCCTTCACTGGAAATGCTTGATTAATGAATATATCACGTGGTGGAGGACTTAAAAGTCCTTTTAAAAGTGTTATTTTCATATCTTTCTAATGAGGAGCTAAATGAAGACATCAGAATTCTTCCATTTAAAAAAGTACATGCAGAAAAGGAATGAAAGAATTAACCAGCTGCCTCCAGATATTCTTGGGAGCAAAGTCAGTAAAATTTTAGAGAAAATTAAAATGACATCCTGCTGTCACAGAAGGCAGTACCCGACAAATTGTATTTCTGCAGCAGGAAAAGCCAGCAATGCTTTGAATTGTGCAAGAGTGTCAGATGGAGAAATGATGGCTTTTTCACCAAAATTTACCCAAAGAACAAAGTCATGATCTGTCTTCTTGATTTACATAATAAACTTAATTTCTGACATTAAAATAATGGACTTGTTGGAAAAACAGGTTTATTGAACTACAAAGAATAACCTCGCTATCAGTAAGCTCATTTATGTGTTTTATAAAAATAAATTGGCTTGTCTTTTTAAATAACAGAAGCCACAAGCAGTGAAAATCATGTTACTCAAAAGCAAATATTACCATACTGCTGGTTAGATTTATATATTTTTAATGTAGATGTTTTGAATTCTTCTATTCAGTAAGTTTTAAAGGAAATATTTTTCTCTGTTTTAAAATGATATCTTGCCTTATCAATGCTTAATGTAAATCTTAATCAGGATTTAACAATTATGTAAATTAAAAAGATATAAATCTGTTTTCATGCAAAAAAGAAGATATTAATACTTTGCTATTTCCAGTAGGTTTTGTGTTTTAATTATTCTTTTTTTAATAAATATGTTCCTCTGTCATGTTAGAAAACAAACAAGAATTCAAGTGTTCCTGTTAAAAAAGGACATAATTAAATGGGTGGCAGAAAATGAGAAAATGTATTGGTATATATAACTGTATATATTCGTACGTATATGAAACGTACCTTTTTTAATAACAATTGAAACAAAAGTTATCAAGTGGATGTGACAGTGGATATGGCTGCAAAAACAACTTTTCCACAAAAGAGGGCCAGCATAAATATCCATCACAAATCACAAACATCGCTAATTGCAAAATGTACACTCTGATATCTAATACAATAATTATTTTCTTTTGACTCCTCTCTTTATCATGTCTTCTGCTATACCTCAGCAGTAAATCATGGATGCATGCAGGGATTTCTTAGCCAATGACTGATGCTCACTATAAGCAGCAACATCTAAGACAAATAACATTGTTTTGAGAGATTTCACTCTTGTATTACTTCGAATTCTTTAGCAACAACAATGCCTATTTGTAAGTGGCATCAGTAACATAATATTTTCACTTGTAAGGGGACCAACTACATATTGTTTGGATCAGAATAAAATCCTTCTCAGAGAATTTCTGTCTGTCAAGCAATTAAGACATTTGTTTTTAGTTTGAAGACAAAAGCTGCACAGGTCCAATTTATTTAATTACTACAGACATACTGACTGGCAGTTTTAAATAAACGCTATTAATAAATCATTAATCTGTAACTAAAGACTACTCTCTTTCTGGAATATTTTCCAAATGTCTACTTCAGGAAATCTCACTGGAACATCTGTCATTCTCACAATTACAGTGGAGAGAAAAGAGTGTTTCAGACAGCTAAATTAAAGCATGAGAAAACCAGAAGCACACTGGGTTTGAGACTGTAACAACTTTTGTGTAATTTACAGTAAGAATTAAAACCACCAGATCTCGAAATGCTAAATAAAGAATGAACAAATTAGTGCTGATTCAGTTAGGTAATGGCAGTGTAACAAGGAAGATCCTTATAAGCTATCAGGAATAAGAGATGACGACAAAAAAAATACAATTATGAAAATGTATGGGAAAGCTGATGCATCTTTACCTCAGCCTCCAGGCTTCAAATGAGGCCTGAAATGTCATTCATGTAATTATTACCATATCAGGTTGAAAGCAATTTCAACTCATCTGATTTGATTGTTTGTTAATGGCTGTGAAAGATAAGGAATGTGCATGGTAAAAATAGCTGCCCATTACAATAGCAGCAAATGGGGTCAATTTACTAGATAACCTTAAATCCCTTGATCGTTCAGGTGTTTTTGTTTTGTTTTTTGTTTATTAAAGGTTAATGCTAAATATGAACTTGGAAATAAGCTAATCAAAGCCTTTCTGTTAACCTTCACCTTCCTTATGTGGCTGTCTAAATAGTGACTGACTGGTTTTGACAGTACTAAATCTCAGGATGCTGATGATGGAAGGTATCAGTAGCTGCATTTCTTGCCTGTCAGTTACGGTTATGAAGGACATGTGGCATGCTTCCTCTTCACTAGAAAGTAACAGTTGACTCACTAGAAAGTAACAGTTGACTTGTAATCTGTCAGCTACTAGAATTTAATTCCAGCAAAATGAGGAAAATAAGAACTAACACACTGGTTACTGCTTCAGCCGTAGCCAAGAGCCTAAAACGTCCTGGTTGCCAGCTATTGACCTGGCAGAAAATTGGTTAGTGTCACTGACAGTAGAGAGCCTGGAGCTACCAGCCTCTGCAGAACAGCCCTTTTCCTCGTATATTTCAGGGAATCTCTCTATTTATTGCTTTGCTGTCCTCTCTCATGTACGTCTTTCCTTTTCTTTACCATATATAACACAAAATACAAGTTTTACCCTACAGAAGTTCTCTCACATTTGTTTTCTAAGCTACTGCTTACATTTAAGTTGTGAATGAATTTGCAAAAGCCACTGTTACTCTAATGGCTCCTGATATGTGGGCTATGGTCTCCCACCTTTTGTTTGGTCTGCTTTGGCTATGTTCCGTCACTCCCTCAACTTCACTAGGCCTAAACAAATGCAATTCAAATACTTTCTCAGAATTTCTCTGTAATTCTTCATTAACACTTTCTGTTGACCTGCTCACTGAGAATATCCGGATATTGGTCAAACAGGAAAAACAGGCAAGAAGGAAAGCAAGTTTAAGACATGTATCATCCAGCCAGTAAATAAGACCTGTTAACAGAAAAATCTGAACAAAAAAATCCAGCGACACATGAAGGTCAAAAATACTATAAAAACATTTTTAAAGTCCTCTTGGGTAGTAGAGTCAGGCTTTGTATATGTGCTTTGGAAATCCAGACCTGCTGAGCAAGCTGGAGTGGTGATCCTCCGAAAACAGACTGTTGCTTCAGAACTCCTTTCCTCTTATGCTTTGCTCCTACTAAGGTAAGTAAGAACTGGCATGTAAGATATGCTACTGCTTGGGCTAAACTGATTTGTGAAGTTCCTCCACAGGAGTTACAAAGACAAATCATTCCACTATTTCTTAATAAAAGCCAGGCTGTAAGAAACCTGTATATATGCCTTGATTAGCTGTGATCTATGAAACCAAGCAGGATATATGATATTGAGCAGCATGACTTTGTGGGGTGCAGGAGATGTACAAAAGGAACACCACTATAAAAAAAAACTGAAAAGAATTCAATACAGTGAGATTTCTTTCAGTACACACACCCCCACATAGAATTTAATGGTCTGTTTTGGAAAAAAAAACGAACCCTTTCTATTTTTGTATATGTCTCTAGTGAAACATCACTAATGGAACATCTGGTTTTAGCTACGTATATGTACAGAAGGAAGAATAATTTCTTTCTGTTTAACTGTATACTAGCTTTCCAAACCTTACTTTTGGCAGTGATAATAACAGTAACTGCCACAATAAAACTGATATATTATCAATTTCAGACTATATTCTGTAATCTGAATAATGAAATAATTTATATGAAATAGCAAAGAAGTATTTCTAAAAACTTTCTCTCCCTAAATTGATTTATCAATAAACATATAAAACCTCCTTTGACAAGAAAACTAAATACCTGTTCTCTAGTAGTGCTATTAGGTCAGGTAGAAACAAGAGAATTGGCACTGCTACAAAGTGTATTAGGACATGTTTAAAACGTTGTGCTTTTATTTTCATATATAAGCTACTAACTTGGGAAGAAAAAACAAAAAACTCATCTTGTTTATTCTCCAACTTTAATATTTTGGCAGAATAAACTCTCATTTACTGATTTATGGTATTGCAGTGATTAAAATGGGTGAGTCTGGTAATTTTTTCTCAAAAAAAAAACCCACCAACTTTCCTCTTTTTGTTACAAGAATATTACTTTTCATTTTGACACAGTCTTTTAACTTGAATGAATTACTGCCCACAGAAATGGCTGGGAAGGGAATTAATAATTGGCTATTTAGTCAACTGGTTACTTTGTGCAGTAAGAACTGTTTGTGATAATGAAATCCAGCAAAATAATGAAACCACAAATTAGGCATGTCAAATCTTAATAAACAACGATGTCTAATTATCACAGAATCTGTACTTACTTGCCAAGTGCAAAACACTCCATCTTAACAGTAGTTCCCCTTGCAGCTGTAACTGTGTAAGGAAAATGGACTTCAATTTTTGGTTCATACTCCCCCATCACACCTGGAAAATAAGGAATGTTTAGAATATGAAATATCATCAGTTTTCTACTTGCTGAGATAATCACAGGAAAACGCCGTGGCTTGCTTTTTGAACCTTCCCAGCAGTAAACTGACGGAGATAGCCTTGTTTCCTCTGATATGCTCTGCTCGGGTCTAGTACATATTCTAAAATGCTCTTCAGAGTTACCAGCAGCACAACAGTGAGCTTAAGGAAAAGGATTTGTTTTTTCAAACACGGGTTAATGTTTACATTTTGAAAGTTTAAAGCAGGCAAACCATTTGAAAGGGGCAAGAATTTCCAGAGACCAAAGCTTTGTTTACTACTGCAGTCATATTTATGACAAATAAATCAACATCATCATGCTGTAGTCAACTGAGGACCTTCTAAGCTCAGCAAGAAAAATTCAACTGATGTAACAGCATTTGTGTAAGCAAGCAGATACAAACACAGATATGCAAACACATACAAAGTCCAGTTATTCATTTTCAGTTACCTTTTAATTCAGATGATTAATTTTATCAGGACAACACAGTACCATAAGACAGAACTAGAAAAAAATTTAGGAATGAGAAAAAATATATAAACTGAAATCAATATAGTTATCTTGAATTTGCTGTGGAGTGACTGACAGCTTTGGAGAATCACAAGAGTTTAGGAAATGAGAAATTACCAGGGAAGGGAGACAGGTTTTTTAAGGAGAGGTGAGAGGTTTGTATCTGATGCATCTTAGAGGAAATGTCACGATTGACTTGGCAGGAGAATATGACTCTAACAGCGCTGTTCAGTTAGACAGAAGATGGGCCACTGGGCTAAGTGATGCTCAGGAAGTAAAAGCAACATTAAATAACCTAAAAGTTGTTCAGATTTTTAGATGAGGAAAACTGAATAAAATTTGGCTTGTGGACACAGCAGCAAGAAGACAAGTCTATCCTGGATCTATAAAAATCAGTCAAGAGTCTCCAAAGAATTCTAGAGCAAGCGATTAAGAGAGCAAAAGAAAGACAACAGATATCTTATTCAAGAAAGAGAAAGGAAGGAAGAACATGGAAGTAGAAGAATATGAGAAATGCAGCTCAGAGAAGACCAGCTGGCAGAAAAAGATGGAAAACAACCCATAGAGAAAACAACCCATTAGAGAAAAAAATAATATAGAAGGCTGAAAAGGTAAACATATATTTCTAGCTCTTCAAATATTTCATATGGACTCAGGAGTTTACAGTGGGGCTGTGCTGTCTTCATCCTGTTGTCCCACAGGCTCCTGCAGCTTGCCTCTGAGAGGAAGTCTGAACTATATGCATTTAACCATGTCTTTGGGGGCTTAACTTGAGTTAGAAAATCTGAATGCGTCTGCCGTGAATCAAACAATGGAAGTAGAAAGCACAAAATGCTTTTAGTTCAAATAATGCAATTCCATAAATAATGTGGCTTTATAAGTAGCAGGAGATTTCTTTTTCTAAAAAACATAATCATGCAAGTATTACATGTACTAGCAGTAGTAACACAATTATCCTAGAAAACATGACTAAATCAATCTTTTTGACATTGCTTTGTGAACTTGTGGAAGAATACTCCCCGTTGTTTGAAAAGACAAATTCTGAAACAATTCTGGCATTAAAGCTTAAAAGGCTTTTTTTTTTTGGTAGAAAAAACAAAATTAACCTTTGTGTCCTGGGTATTAAAATAAAGTCAGGGCATCAACCAAATTGTAGTGAATTGCCATTTTCCCTAGACTTGACGGAAATCTTTCCTAGTCTAATCTGTCATAAAAATTTTATTCCCATAGGCTTGTACTGCGTCAATAAATTACATTATTTAATTACACTCCTTGCGACTCCTTTTACTATTTCTGGCCTTCTTTTTTTTTTGGTGTGAGATTATGAATACCAGTTTCTGATTCATCTCAGTTGAATCATTCATTTTATACAATATCTGTCATATACCCTTTTAGCTGTGCCTTTTATAGACTGAAAAATCCCAGACTATTAATCCTTCCTTAAAGTGAACCTTTAATAAACTTGCAATCATTCCTAGTGCCTATATTGCACCATTTCAAATTCCATTCTATCATTTTGAGAAGGGAAGACGAGAACCGCACAGCAATAATGAAGCTGTAGATCTATCACATTTTTGCTTCTTCTGTTGTTTTTGTTTGTTTCTTATTGTTTTCATCATAATTCATTTCTATTTGCCTTTTTTGCACTTGAGCTGATGTTCATTCACAATGGCACCCTAATTACCAATAATATATAATAAAGGTATTTATACTTCTAGGTTTGGGTGTTACATAGATTTGTACTGGGTGACATTATTTATCACCTATCCACTCTATTATTGTGATATCCTTTTGCAGCTCTTCACAGTTAAAGTTTAATCAGCCTTAATAATTTTATATCAACAAACTTTTCTACTTCTGTGTTCATTTCCTTTCCAGATCATTTATGTGTTGAATGCTGAAGTACCAGAAAAAGAACTAGATGGTTAGTTGGTCCTTTCCAACCCTAGTTATTCTATGATTCTATGATTCTATTTTGTGGCTTCACTGGCTAACTCCCTGTTCTCTAAAATGATCAGATGCTCCTAAAACAGGTGAACTTTTTTTCCCCATGTGTTGTTAATTCAAAATGGGGCTGCCCTTCAACCCTTCTGAGAATTTCATTTCATTGACAGCCTTTGATGAGTGACCTCAAGAGCTATTTGAAACAAAAGTACACAGCATTAACTTGACCATTCCTGTTCATATTCTCCAATACTTTTCAGGAAAGTTGCATATTGATTGAAGCGTGACCTCTCTTTTTAAAAGCTGTCTTTATGGTATATGACCGTCTGGTAAGACAGATTACTACATGGGTCTGTGACAAATACAATCCCCCTAATTGTACTTTTCTGTGCTTTTCTTAACAAGACACAGAAGTCAGACTTACCAGTCTGTAGTTCCTCAGATGTTCCTAGGAGTCTCTTTAAAACACCCCCACCCCTTTTCTACCTACACTCCTATGCCTGAGGCCAAGCGAAGGAAAATGGTCCATTTTGCTTCCTTCTGTATGAGCTTGGCCTTGGGGATTTGTTAATATTTGTAATGTCAATATTTCAGCTAAAATCTCATCTATTAAATCTTCAGTTAGGAGAACTTCAAACTTGATAGAGAAACTTCCTTAAGTTCCCTTGTAGTGAATACTACTGAAAACAGTTCATTTACATTTTGCGGTGAAGTCTTACACTCCTGAGGTGCTCCTTTTAAATCTCTGGCATCTGTTGACTGGGCATACTTGCTGACACATTTTGTGATTCAATGGATTTAAACAAAGGGGGGTTTATTTTCCTTTGTGTAAGGCTCTGTTCCTGAAAATTGCTGTGTTGATTTGTAGTATACTATTAAACATTTGCCTTTTTAGCCTTGAAAAAAAAAAATGCATTTTGGAAATAGAAATAAGGTATTCTTGCTTTTAAATTAATACAGTATTTATGAATACATCTGAGGAACAATATTATCTTTCAGCTCTTATGCTTTTTACTTACATTAACTCTCTTTAGTAGGTGCAATTTGTACAAGTATTGAATGATATTCAAGAGCCATGCCATAATTTCATATTCCTAATGAAATTCTGATCTACTAAAGCTTTGTACCACGTCCTGTTCTTCTGGGTTATTGTTACATTAGCAAGTGACATGCCTGCAGCAACTGGCTAAAAAATGAAGAAAAATTACTGAGCAATTCCTTGGTGTCCCTATGAAAATTAGGAAACAAAAGTCTATTATTGCAAAGAGATATTTTTAATCCTTATTATTTATGATATTTGAGACCAAGGAGCCTATTAAAGCTGCACAGACATCAAGAGAATTACAAAGGCCTTAACCTTCCCACATTATAGTATAATTGCTTTGCTATGCCGCTGTACCTCCAGGATCTTTATCTTTTCCAGTTTCTGTTATGGTCACTAAAAGTCAGTAATGGTAAAACAATCACCATCTGCATTTTCATCAAGACTTCTGTTCATTTGTATCGGGTGCTAAAAGGAACCTGAACTTTTAAGAACTACCAAGGCATTGAGTTATGTGCAACAGAATCAATCTCTCTCAGACTTAATATACATGACTCTCTTTCAGAGGTTTGGCTAAGGCCATAAAAAATTCTCTCAGTCATTTTTTATTTTCAGTTATCAAACATGAATTACAACAATAAATAAAACTGATCAGCAAAGAATAGAAACATAAAATATGATTTTTAAGTGTCTAACAAATCATAGAGCTCATGTGGTCTGAGCACTGTAGAACGGGGAGCCTCCCTCAATGCTCCTGTGCTGTGTCGTCCCATGAAGATATTTCATTTTGGACAACCTTTTCCTTTCCTAGAGATGACTCCCATGATTCAATCTTCCTTAGGCTTCTTTAGTTAGTTTATTGCACTCCTTATTTTACAAGCTGTGCTTTTCAGCTGAGTACAGATGTGGGTAGTGCTGAATTTGTGATTGGTATGAAGCACTGCTTCAAAATCCAACTTACCAGATCTTGAATTTTCTTCTGTGATGAAATAAAGGGCTAAAAGCCAAATTTTCTTGTTTAAGTAAATCTTGGCCCTGGGTTTTATTCTGAAACAATTCCACCTTACATTTCCTAGTTTTTGTGTGTCTGCCCTTTCAGTGCCTGTGAGGACAGCTCGCCTCATGCCTGTCTAGCCAAGGTCTTCCCCGGCTAGGTGAAGCTCAACTGAGACAAAATACCTTTCTGCTGTAGCTCTAATTACTGAAAAAGGCACTGATTCAAATAACTCAAATTATCCCAGGACCAAACACAGCTAGACCTGATTAGAATTAATGGTCTGTTAGTCACATGGGCAGAAATGGTTACGAATATTTATAGAAGAGTTGATTTCCCTATTTAGTCCTTCAGACATTTTTTTACAATCATGAAAATATCATAGAGTGATTCTCCACAAATCACATATTCTCCAACCCAGCTAAGAAAAAATATTAATAAAATCAGATTTAATTTTAATAAGTGGT